CTGTTTGACATTTATCTGAGGCTTCGCCTGTGATGAAGCTAATGAACTCGGAAACACATTCTTGGACTGTTTCTTTGGCTTCTTTTGATATTTTTGCATTTGCAGGGAGGGATTTTTTCATGATCCGGCTTACATTCGCTATAGGAAGGAATCGTTCTGGCTCCTTGCTATCCGAGATGTTACCGGACAATGGACTGTCCCCCGGACTGTTTTGGATTCGTTTTCCTGTCATTGGGAAGAAATAGTTATTTTGGGGTGGAAGAATGAAGATAATTGAAGAGCTTTTCGTGGGGGATATGATAGAAAGAATTTGGGGTTTTAAGCTAACAAAATGTGATTTAAAAAACAATAGAAAACAGTGGATAGGCGGTTTGATGCTGACAGACAAGGTAATATAATGCGACAGTCAAAACTATCTGATGTCTTCTAACATAGAGTGTGTTTTGGACACGTTCTTTTGAAAGAATGTATTATTGAATAGTAGATTGATGAAGAATGTATGGTTAAAAATGAAGGAAAAATTATGATGTGATGAAAAATATTATTTTATTGAAGAATGTGTGGTTGAAAATGAGTAGAAGAATGAGAATGAAAAAAATAATGTGCACTAAATAGAGCCTTAACTTGTGATTAAATTAATTCAAGAACTTAGAACATATTAATTATTGAAATCTTTTTCATTTGTCTACTATTAACCTTGGTTGTGTAAGGGTGTAATTTAGCTTGCATTGGTTTTGAACTGTTCATATTCGACTCAATGACGTGAAAGACATACGTCTGGAACTTCACAAGTGATTATGAGTTCAATGGAAGTAGCTTAGTTAATTTTCAAAATATCGAGCTTCGTTAGTTTCAATAGTTATATATATTCTTCGTGCTGATCGAATACCGACACGATAACTTTAGTATCAAGTAACCATGTCGTATGTTTATCTGTCCAGATAAGTTTGCAGGCTCGTAAACAAGTTTGTGAACAAGAATATACAAAGTTGACCACACATAGTTACAGCTGTATAGTCTACAAATGCTGACTTAAGATTCTTAAAACTATTAGACCTTTCAGTATAATAATAATATACACTTAACATTATAATTCAGTATTTTTTGGCCTGCAAAGTATAAGCTAAATGGTTCAAAGAACTATGCAAATTTTAACATAAAAAATCATCCCTTCAGAGAGAAAATTTGTGTTCATAGAGAGATCACTCTTTGATATTGAAAAGAACTTGGGAAGCACTGCAGTGAATGTGAAGATTTTCTGAAAAAATAGACATTTGCATTAGATTCTTATTGATAATTTTCCAATATTCCGCACTCCTTGTAGGCTTCAAATTCACAACAATTTTAACTTTTCCACACACTTTTGCAAAAGGAGAATAAATGCTTCTGTTGCGTACACCATTGTCGTGATTATGCCCATCACATCTATCAAAAAGAGTCTGTATCTGAAACACTCGTGACATACTTGATATGTTAGAATGAAGAATCAAATTGTCAAATATAGTTTTACTAAGCGACTTGTAGGGCTTGGCTCATGAACCCGTTATTTCTTTTATCATATCGGCCTGATTTAGTCACTTTTCTTTACCGAGGTTTGTGGAAAAGGTGAGCTTGAATATATGGTCATCTTTGCTTTAGTGCATGCTCAGCTGAAAACATATCTTCTTAGTACATTAAATTGGACAAGATAAAAAGTTCACAAAAAAATACATTTTGTAAGGTACATCATGAATGGAAATGAAGTAAAAATCAAAGTCTTATTTGATTTGCACATTTAGAAAATTCCACTTTTGTTAGAATGAAAATCAATCCTCTTCATAGTTTAACGATTCAAGTAATTAAGTTCATAGCTCCCAAAGTCAGCACAATATAGCTGAAACTCATATGTTGAAACATGCCAAATGTCACCTTTTGCAACTGTTTCACTCTGCTCTTAATTTTTTATCTGCAAATTGTGCAACCCAAAGTCTCAAAAATCAATGTCTTAATATATGAAACATTGGTATGTTTTTTCTCCTTAAACTCACATAATAATTGCATATTTTATTAAGTGAAGTTGTCAATGGAATCAGTTTGACATTGCCCGAAGCTTCAAGACTAACAAAAACATGATTTATCTTTTTGTTGCTAATATGAGATCCCATGTCGGTCAAGGAATTTGGATAAATCAGCTCGACGACTTGAATGGGTACCTAACCGATGGAAGTCAGAGTTGGTCACTATGGGAGTCGTCGTAGGAAAACATCATTATGATCCAACATAGGAAGTATTCTCTCTTGACGACAATACTGCTAGATCAATCAATCAAGAGGGCGATAAGATAGCTTAGGGCATATGCACAAGATCTAAGCGTCATCATGACTTGTCAGCACGATCGACCTCACCAAACAACCAAATTTCATCAAATGAGTGATTACACAAGTTCTTAGGTCTAAACAATGTAGCTTGACATAACAAGGGCAAGTGGTTGATGAAAAGGGACATTGATTCCAAACCAATATTTCTCTATACAATTGTAATAGTTAAGCATTATAATACTCTTATTCAGTTCAAATTCATAAAAGATTGATCAACAAGTGCCACATTTTATGATTATGATTATTATTATTTTCGACATCAACATGTTAAATAGAAGTTGTCATTGAAAATAAGGTTATTAATTATGTCATATTTATTGGGTACCTAACCGATGGAAGTCAGAGTTGGTCACTATGGGAGTCGTCGTAGGAAAACATCATTATGATCCAACATAGGAAGTATTCTCTCTTGACGACAATACTGCTAGATCAATCAATCAAGAGGAGGGTGATAAGATAGCTTAGGCCATATGCACAAGATCTAAGCGTCATCATGACTTGTCACGATCGACCTCACAAACAACCGAATTTCATCAAACGAGTGATTACACAAGTTCTTAGGTTTAAACAATGTAGCTTGACATAACAAGGGCAAGTGGTTGATGAAAAGGGACACTGATTCCAAACCAATATTTCTCTATACAATTGTAATAGTTAAGCATTATAATACTCTTATTCAGTTCAAATTCATAAAAATTCAAGCATTTTATATCCCAATTGCGAGGCAATAAACATGCAGCCTGTCTGGAGCTGATTAAAATGGATACAAAAATTGATTTTTGGTCCGTTATGCATCAATTCAGCCTGTCTTCAGCATGCAAATGTTGACTTCTATTTCTCACATGCGGGCTCCACATTGAAAAGCAACGGTATAAAAATCAATTTCTTTCCACAAGCAATGGTGTATTGTTTGAATTATATAATATGGTAGCCTCTAGTTGATACAAGTTGACTAGTCCTTTAACTATTAATAGAACTTGTCATTGGTTTTAAAAAGGTTATTAATTATGTCATATTTAATATTCATTTAGACAGACTTACTGATAGGCGAGCAACATGTTTATCTTCGTATATTATATAGTTTGAAGGGGGCCGGCCACCTAAAACTTGAAGAGACATCTAGGTAAATATATGACAAGATTACTCTATTTTAAATTATTGTATTCTGATTTTTCATATATTTAATTTTCTATCTCAGGTTAAAAAAATTGTAAATAAATTTAATTAGAAGGAGGCCGGCCACCAAAAACTTGAAGATACATCTAGGTAAATATAGGAGAAGAGTACTCTATTTTAAATTATTGTATTCTGATTTTTCATATATTTAACTTTCTATCTTTTGTTTAGAAAAATTGCAAATAAATTTTGGTGAAGTTATGTATGAAAGGGTTGGATCCACCCCTACTAGTACTATGTGCGGTCGAAGTTGTCTAAGCTCTTGTTTGATACACATTATTTTCAAAATTTATTTTTTCTATCTTTTTTTTAAGCACACATTCTTTAATAAAATAATATTATATGTAAATCCAAAATTTTTCCTTATTTTTTAACTATACATTATCTTTCAATCTACTTTTTTAAGATACATTATCCACAATAATGTGTACTAAGCAAGGTCTAAGTATTATAAAACTCTATATAAAAACAAAAGTTTTTGGACCCATAAAAGTTCGAATTTGACCCAAAAATTAATGAGCATAAGCTCATGAATTTTGCTTAGAGGCTCAATTTAGCATTGAGAAATGTTATTATTAATCTAATTTTGACACGAGATTAAATATCATTCTCTTCAGATCAAAAAAATATGTCCCCTAATTCTACAACTCAGCTTTTTCCTGGATACTCAGGTTCTACTGTTGGCTTACTGGTTTTATACAATTCAGAAAACACTTGAAGCTTCTTGTTCATCTCTCTCATAATTCTCGAATGAGCAATCGAAAAGATTCTGGAGCATCTTTAAAATTAGGTATTGTTCTTCCAATGATTATAGTACATGTTGGAGATATTATAGTATATTCAATCAACACGTTTATGCTCATGAAATCGAAATAGAATTCGACTTACCAAAATGGGATTTGAGAAGACAAGCAATAACTATTGAAGTCGAACACGTGTCGATGGATGTTGTTGGACAAGCTTCACTAATTGTTTACCGAATATACATAATAGATACCGTATTAGTGAATTTTACTTAAGGTGTGGGCACGCCTTACTGAATTGAAATTCTATCATAAGTTTTTACTTAAGGTGTGAGCACGTCTTACTGAATTGAAATTCTGCCATAAGTGGATACTTCGAATATAAAAGTATGGATTCGCCATTTCCCAATATGAGTGAACGCATGTTATTTTTCAATTTAAACTTTGCATGAAATCAAAAGAATATTGATTACTTTCTGAAATCAAAATTCTAAATTAGAATGAAATCAGAAACAAGAAAGAGGAAATGCAAGTGATACGATTGGTCGAAACAAGTGTTTGACACTTTGTCCTTAAAATGAATTTGCCCCACATTGGTGCAAACGGTTTCTAGCAATCATCTCTTAAGATACAATGACCACTTCAAGCCATATGAGCACTCCGAATGGCTTCAACCAACGAACTCGAACGAAATTCTCTCTCTACCATAACTATGATTTTGATGCAAGTGTTTTATGCAACTTAAATTGTAAACATGGAATGGAATGATATGTGAACTATCACTTTGAACTATATGAATCCAAACACATGGGGATCTATATATAATAGTTGGAAATGTTTGTCAAAAGACACAACCATACCAAGAGACACATATCTTGAAATTAAGATTTATAATTATTGGAAAGTAATCATATCAAGAGTCATGATCTCCAAGGGTCATGATCTTTTATGTGCAAAGACACATATTTT